CTAGCTTCAGATTCTGCCCCAGAAGAGAGAGCTTGCAGGCATTGCTGTCTAAGTGGCTTCTCATTTCGGTGCATAACCTTTGATAATTATTACCTTTAGATATGATAAATCTCATTTCTAGTGGAATGTAGTAATGCTAAGAATATACGACATATGTATTTAATGCAAAATTAAAATCCACCATCTCTATAGAATGAAGTAATTTTCATGTAGTCTTAGAATTTTCCATGAAAAAATGTACTGGCTCATATTTTAATGACTTTTTTTTAATATGTGAAACATCAGTAACTACAAGGAAAAATTATTTGAGAAGCTTTTCAGTTTAATTCCAAAATATTTTCTGTCTTATGGTTGAGATCACTTCTTTCTTCATCTGTAGAAGACAAACAGTAGGCAGGGTGAGAGGTGATGGGAAAATGAGAGTTTTGTCATAAGCTTCTAATTCTTGTTTTTATTTCTAAACTTAAAATACTGGTCTAATGGATAAGTGCTGAGTGTGATTTCTGATTAAGGGAACACAACTTTCTAAATGATTCTATATTCATTTTCATGTGTCTTTAAAAAACAATTTAAAAAATCCCAATAAACAGTAAAACAGATATTGAAGGGGAGCAGTATATCAGTCACATTCAGTTTGTTGTGCACTGGGACCTCTAGCAGATCTGCTCATTTTCTGTATAAATGAAGTGTTTAATGCTTCACTGTTTTACATAATGTTTTCTAGAATGATCTGAAAGAGGATGTAGGAAGCACATTAATTACATATACAGGTGATACAAAGTTAGAGAGCTACAGCAGCTGGAAGAATGGCAAGAAATATAAATTGATCTAGAGAGCAGCAATATGCAGGAATTTACAAAATGAGGCTTGTCTTGGAAATGTGATCCCAGTTGTAGACATGCTATATGTAAAATTAGCTTAGTGAAGTGTTGATGTTGAGCTTTCACTCATGCAGTAAGAAAGATCTATTTATCCCACCCAGTTAACTGTTTCTTATGGTATCCTGATCTTTAACCACTTCTATTGAATCTTCCTAGAATCATTTCCAATTTTGCTACTGTGGTTTTGGTGGTGAAGGACAAATAACTGGACAATTTCTTGGTTTAGTGTCAAGCAAAAACTAAGCAATATGTGGAAAAACTAATGCAAACTTTTTTATTATTTTTTCCCCCCAAAAAAATCATTGAATTTTAATAGAACTCTGTCTTCATCAGTGCTGCAAATTAACATGGCTGTCCAGTATTCAGAATCCTTGGATCTAAAATTCTGCTATTTTGTGAATCTGCTCCTTTACCAGTTTGCTTTCCCATTTGGGATGCCAGTAGGACTCCAGAGCAAAACTATCCTGAGAATTCATTTTCTTTATGTTGTTTTACGAATGGCTCATGCTTTGCCTTGACACTTTGGAAATGAAATGGATCTGGCTGCCTTTATGGCTTATCAGTCTCCCAGCACTGGGCTCTGTACAGGGGCAAATGCCAATCAGTTGTAGTTTGCTCAGATAACAGCGTTGCTATTGTTAGTGCTCACATTTCTGTTTGTTAAATAGGCAGTGTAATAGCCTGTTGGAAAATAAAATTTCATGTTGAAGAAACGACTGAAGAAGGCTTTTTTGGTACACTTTGTAAAACATTCTGTATGAAGGATGCAAAGCAAAACTGCACATCCAATGTCACGTTGTTTTTGGCTTAATTAGGGCTGTATCTAAACATACTGTGTTTGTCTGCACTGAGGTGCTGGAGCTAACTGCAATGTAACCCAGATAATTTGCTCCTACAACTATATTAAGTTAAGATTAGAAAACAGGGGGCAGGCAGTAAAAAGTATACAGAAGAATATTTCTTTGCAGAAGCCTTATGGGGTTGGTTTTTTTGTTGTTTGGTTGGTTTTTTGGTCAATATGTGAGCACCTGCCTAATGGATTTAAGCCTTCTAGTAATGGGCCTGCTTTACTTGCCTGCTAGAAATGGTCCACAGATGACAGTGTATGAGACGTGGAAAACAGTACAGTGAAGTTTCATGTAAGAAAGCATGTAACATTCAATTGCTTTGTACAAAGACTGAAGTCAAGACTAAATTAAAGGCTGTTACTGTCTTAACTTTGAAATGAACACCCAAAAAGATGGCCAGCCAAATTCACTGTGTCCCTGCAGCAATGTGGCAAATTTGGCTAGCACCTCCTTTCTGTTGGCTTGCACGGTAGCTGTGGCTCATCAGGCTGGCATGCATTTCTTGCTCCACTCTCTGTAGTGTGACCTCTTCCCTGCTCTGTTTTGATAATTCATCAAAAAAGGTAGTGTGTCCAAAAGCCTGGTTTGATTTCTTTCACTGTATCAGCTTTTATAAAAGGGAGGACATTATTTTTTCTTACAGGTTTTCAGAATTCCTTTCATGGCAGAGGTCCATGAAGCTGAGGATGTCTTTTGCAGTTTCAAAACTCTGTGTTGCACTAGCAGTATTGGTTTATGTAATACATTTAAGTAAGAGGCTGAACTGGTGTTCATTTATAATTACTTTTGAAATGTCTGCTGTGTGTCTGGCATTATTTTGATTGTGAGTTGAAACAGTCTTTCAGCTGAAATCTATTGTTATGCACGTCAACCTGTTTTAGAATTATTTATATTTTATTCTTTTGTGCTGACTAAACTGTAAATTGGACAATGCTTATTTGTCCTGACTAAACATATTTGCCTATACTGTATCTCTGTTGATTATATTAAAAGCATAAGACAAAAAGATGTACTTGTCTTGCTATTTCCTCCACAGTGTAAGTAGAAGATTGTGTTGCTGTTTATCTGTGCTGCTTGTGCTTCTCTATCTCTGTGGCTAGCATTCAAGTGTCGCGTGAATTCTTTATCCATATAGTATGGTGGTGGCTTGCAAGTGATGAAAAACAGTTTCCTTTACGCAAATGTCCATCTTTGTTAATGCTGTCAAGCAGCAAGTGTGATATCCAGGGAATACGTGTCACTCTGTCAGTTGCTGATAATATAATCCAATTTCCAAAAATAAATTAAATGCATCTTTTCATCAATAGACATCAGATGTATGTAATCTAAAAGAAAACAATGTTAGAGACAGTACATGTGAATTTGGAAGATCAGTGGCTAATATGAGATTAAACCTTTGGGTTTGCTGCATTTTCTGATAAATTAACCTTGTTGAAGAAGCTCCTAATGGTATCATGTGTTGGTGCCACAGATGAAATACCTTATCGATGTTGAAGGACTGTTATTTGTTTTAAACAATGCCTTTAAAGTCTTTATGAGCAATTTTTACAAGGCCTTTTTCAGCAAAACCTTATGTATAGTAGTAGTAAACTTCACTGTTTAAAAAGTGTTAACAAATGTTACAAATTTTTTTCTCGAATGTCTTCTATTTATTTATTTGCCATGCCCTCCCAAGCAAAATGAACTAAAGTGGGGAGAAAAATTAACGAAATGGCATTTCTGACTTTAGTAGTTGAGGTGCCACAACACGGACTGAACTCTTCCCTAGCATATACCACATACTTTTTAAAAGATGTTATTGCCATGTATTCAAGTTGAAAAGATGAGCAATAGTTCTGTTCACAGGGAAATGCCACAACAGTTGTGTCAATTCTTTTAATAATTACAAGATGTGAGAGATGACCCTTTTTCCTTCCACGTACCCCTCACCAACTTGACATTTCTGCAGGCATTTCCAATCAAAGCCAAGTCATTTTGGTGCCTCTTTCCTGAAAGATCTGCATCTGCTGTAGTTTAAGCTGGCCGAAGTCTGGATTGTGTCATCCAACCCACTCTGCTTTTCCCTGGATCTGCTCCCTCAACTAGTTTTTTGTCAAGCAGGGCACATGGTGTTGCTGCTAGATGTGGAGAGGCATCAGAAAAGCCCCCTATGGCTTCTGTAGGCTCTGTCAGCTATGGAAGTGTACCTTAAGGTAGTGCAGATTCCCCATCATCTACCCACTCCAAGCACCTAAGTCATCTCCTTCACTTCTGGTTTGCTTCTCTTAAGATGCATGGGACCTTGTTCAAGTAACCTTAATATCTTTCTTCTTCAATTGCCTCAATCTGTCACATTGAACATTTTTGTGTATCTTTGTATCTTCATCTAGCTTTGCCTGTTTATATTTTAGCTGATACTGTTTTGTGCATATGGCTGAACTAGTCCTCCTTTAACATAATAGAAACAACAGTTTTCTGTTACTTCTGCTGGACCAGGCAGAACAAATCTGTTCAGACCTTTTGTATATCCTGTATAACATTCCCACTGCTGAAGAAATACAACTATTCATTATAGATCCTATCCTTAATCACATTGAATTATTGAGGCTACTTATTTAATTGAAGGACTCCTTTCATTATTGAGAATTTGCTGGCTGAGCCCTGAAGGGGAAAACTTGTGGGCTAGTTTTTATCCAACAGGTGCATGCAAGGATCATAGACAGGCATTTGTAGTGCTACTTTAAATCAAAAGTAACTAACCTTCATTTGTTTTATCAGTAATGTTTATGTGATTGTATTGCTGCTGTGGGTACCAGAATAGGCACAGAGTTTTTTCAGCTAGTTCATTGGGCAGATGGCAAGAACATGTTAGCAATACTGTTAGGTTTTCAGTTCCTGGGGTGCTGCACTACATCAAAAATGCCTTTTATATAAAACCTGTGGTTACATCTTTGTACTGTTGACCTCTGATCTGTACAAGAGCAGGTTGTTGCTGTATCTTGTTATATTTCCTGCATGGCATCTCTTTTCCTGCCCATCAGAAAGTATGTCAGTGCTTGTGTCCTGTGCCTGTTGAATGACAGGTGGCCATTAAGATGTGTTAGCTGCATAAATAATTGGTGTGTAGATTATTCCACATATTCCACAATTCTTTTTGTGACAAATTTATTCTGTCACTTTGAACTGGAGGACTGTAGGGTATTTCTTATACTTACTAAGTATGTATTCCAGATTGTTGGAGCAAAGTGTTTCTAGTCCAGATGAAGTAACTCATTCTTTCCTTGTGTCCTAGTTTAGACTTGGATCTCTAAAGCTACGGAAAGTTTCAAGTCCGGCAGAGGTGGTTAAGGAACTGATTGATTACTGCCTAGACTGCCTGGGAAGACTGCAGGCAAAAAATGAGCACCTGGAAAAAGAAAATGAAAGGCTTTTCAGCGACTGGAGTGACGTAGAGAAGCGGTAAGTTTAAAAGTGCATTCACAGGTGATACTTGAGAAACTCACAAACACACTGTCAGTGCAAGCTTTACTGAGCACTTTTGGAGTTATATACAGAAAGGAGCACACAAGTTTTTATTCTCTTGACAAGTGTTTTGAGCCCAGCTACTTACAGCTCATGTAGTTTTGTGTAGTTGTGGATTTTCTTCCTATGTCAAAAATGGAACTGGTATTACACACTTTGCAATTAAAGCTGGTTTTACATTTATGAAGTGAAAAAAAAATTCTCTTTTCTGTAGAATCCACTTCACTTTCTTCCAGAAGCCTTCTTTCCACTATTTTCTATAATTTTTATTACTAGCAGTTTAAATTATTTACATTTTTGAATGGGAAATAAGTTGCCATTGCTTTAATCTGTTTGCCTTGTTTTCCAATTCTGTCTGCTTTGACAAGTGTGTTGTTATAGGAAAAAGCATAATTATTTTGTGAGTGCAGGTTTGTTTTTGGTTTTTTTTTTTTTAATTGCCATTGTATTTATGGTCTGAATTGTCCGCTACTGCACTCTGTAGTGAGGTAATCTTTGCTTATTTCAGTTAGCATAAAATGTTTAGCACATACAAGTCAGAGATTTATCTTGTTTTACTATAGCTTTATCTGAAAAAACACATTTAGGAAGATTGATTAAAGTATGTAGCTAATTGGCGTTAATTTACCTTGAAAAAGAGAGCTAACTTCTGGGAGGAGTTAGTTTTGTTTCCCTCTCATTAAAATGACTAACAGGTTCTGCTGACAATCTCTCTGACAAGCATATGGCCTTCCTAAGTAGTGTTTTACTGCTTAACAGTTTATTGAACAATAGCGTATTGTATAACCAGTATGCTGTACTGCATTACACGCTAATGTGTAATAGGCATTAGTACTTGTATCAATTTCCATGGTGGTGTGGCAGTTTTAAAGAGTAACCCCAAAGAAAAAAAAAAATCATGATTGCCTGACAGCCTTTGCTCTCGGAAGCAGTGTATTCAAGCTTTGAAAGCTGGTGGTTTTCTTTAGTATATTTTGAACAGCTGAAACATGATTTTTCAAAATAAATATTGAAAGTTGTATGGTCACCAGACTTTGGCCATGTCTGCTAAATGGAGAATAAACATAATTTTCATCAAAACAGTGTTGGCTTTTTGGGTTTCTTTGGTGGTTTGGTTTTTTTGGTTTGCTTTGGGTTTTTTTAATGCTTTTTGCCACAGCCTGGTTTACCCTGCTGTCTCTGTTTGCTCTTTTGGCTGCAAATGCTGGACCTAGTGTTGTGAGTTTCTTGGAGCTGAACAAAAGCTTTGCCTGTCTTTGTTCAGTAGATAGGATTTCAAGCCTCACACTCTATCACTCACGGCATTAAGTGGTAAAACATCAAATATAGAGCATGTACAGAGAAATGTGTTCCCTCCTCTCCTGGAGCTAAGGCACATCAGCTCCAGAGTTTCAGCCCTTGCAGTTCCCCTTGCTTAAAATCTCTCTCTTCAGGACCTCATTAGAATTAAAATACAGCATGCAGACTTCCAAGAGGTGTTTTTGTTCAGGTTAAGCATGGGGCACTGGGTGGAATAATTCAATCATCTCTTTTCTATTTCCTTAGTCTAGTTTTCTTGACCATCATGAAGATCTTGTGAGCTGGGCTCAGCAGCTTTGCCCCATAGGTCCCAGGGGTCTCTTGAAGGATAAACTTGTCCTGCTTTCCATTTGTTCTGTAAAATGGCAAGCAAGTTTCCTTTGGGAGGAAAAATCTGCCTAGTGAGCAGTCTGCAGGCTGAGTACCAGCCCGGATCTCTGCTTGCAATTGCCTCAATGTACGTGAGATGTCCACTTGGCTGTGAACAGCTCATGTGGCAGCCCTGCGCCCGGTACAGGAACAACTTCTGCTGGTTTCCTCTGCAATTGGGGTTCACATAAAGGCGAAAGCAGAAACAGGCCAAAAATACCTTTGAAGAGAATTCCCCTGCATCATCAAATTATTAAATTACTTATGTATTGTGGTCTAAGCTCTGCAGCGTCTGAGGTCTTGGGAGCATTTCTGGTTGACGCTGTAACTCCCATAATTTTCATCGTCTTGCTTATTGTGATGACGTGTAGGATTCTACGTGGCTGAACATTTTCCTGCTTTTTAGAAATGACCCATGTGTAGGTTACATCAGTATGAGAGTTATTAGCTAGCTAGGCTGTTCTGTACTTCATCTAAAAACATAAAATAAAAATTACTAAGACACTATCTGGAAAGATCCAAATAGAGAGGCTATGGACATTTCCAAAAGGATTATTCTGAAAATGCTGCAAGTGGGAGCCTGAGGTGGGAGTGTGTGTGTGTACACCTCAGGGATGAATGAGTTAAACTATCAGAGCAGAATAGCTATTGTTTTTATTTCATATAGATAATTAATATGGTAAAGGTAAAGTAATAATAATCTGTAGCAAAATAATTCCTTGGCCAGTAAAATACAAGTTAAATTTCTGTTTTGGATGTGGTATGTATTTTGTATCAAACATCTAAAATTAGTGTAGACAAGCCAAAATCAAAATAGCTGCTAATTTACGTTGTGGTCAGCTATGGTGACAGTATATTTAAGCCACAAACAGCTTATAAAAATGCAGGCTACATAGTTTGGTGCTTGAAACTGACTCTTCAGCATTAGCTCATCAAGATTCAATACCATTGCCAATGTTGGGGGAAGGGGTAACTCTGAAATGTAATAGAGCGGTGCCATACGACCGGTAATTATTTTAGAGCACTGAGGAGAAGGTTAAATAGCAGAGATGTTGAATTTTTTTCTTTCTAGTATTGGAGTGTGGAAAATGTGTAACTGAATTAAGTCGCATAGTTCATGTTAACCTCTGTGAAGCATGTGTGATTGCTCAATGTTTAGGCAGCACCTAAGAACTGGACAGTACATTATTTTCTCAATTATTAATAATAAGCATTCCTAATACTAGCTGCTTTCAATAGGTTGTGCAAGCTTTTTGATGGCTATCAACTTGGGTATGTCTGGTACCCAAAATTAAAAGCATTGCACTTACATAACAGAGAGATCTAAGAATATAGAAATTGGAAAGCACATGCAAATAAGACTTGCACCACTCTAGCCATTAACTTCTGTTTATTTTCATTGTAATTGAAAGCTGTCTTTCAGATGAGCAGCTTTTTTATTTGGCCTGAGGAGATGGTATTTTAGTGAGAGAAATCACATATAGGCACAAGCATGTGATGAATTGCAATTGAAGTTTGTATTTGTAACCAATGAGGTATTGCAATGAAACCCAGCCAGCTTTCCTTAGTAGTCACGTAATTCAGGTAATGCATGCCCGGGTGAATCCTAAAGGCTATGCAGAGTTACAGCCACAGCCACCCCACACACACGTATGTTCTGCATAATTAATTCATCCCTGTTCCCAAGCAGCAGAGGACTGCTCCTTTTTACTATTCTGTTTTTAAGTATCCTCATATGCCATATAATAGTTTATTTTTAAAGGCTCATCACTTGCACTTGCAAAAATTCTATTCATGTAATACTATTTTACACTGATGGACATTAATTTGGCATAACACTTACATGTATGTCTGGAGAATGTATTTATATATAGATTACTTTAAACAGCAGGAAGAAATCAAAAAAGGTGTTCATGTAAATGAAAACAATCATATAAGATTATCTAATGGGATACTATTAATTGATTTTTCCTACAGGGAAGAATTAATACTCTAATCTATGCATGTAGTCAGTATGTATATTTTGAGATGGTAATACTTTGCTCCAGAGGCTGAAGAAATCGGCTAGTCACGCGATAGGTTCCTGTGCTGTGCTGCTTAACGTCCAGGCAGCATCACCTTTGCTTCATTGAGAGTTTATAGTTAAGTGCATTTTCATCAGTGGGTGTCTTTGCAGGGTTCAAGGGCCTCACTGAAGTTATCTTATATGACACCCTTTTGGCCAAGTCAGCAAAATATCTCAATGTGATTATTTAAACCAACCTCAGCTGCTCTGACACAAACCAGTCCACTGGCAAAATAAAGGCACAGTAGTAATCACTGTCTTTAGATAGTATTGTTTTGTGTGTGTGAGAGAAGACTCTATAGGATTTGATACAGACAGGATTACCTTATTTTACACAAAATCCTTGTTTCCATTTTTATGTGTACAGACATAATTAGTTTCAAGCATGTAAATGGCCATTTACTGAACAGCTATATTTTTATTTTTAATCTTTTTTTTTAATGGCTGAATTCTACTTGATAAGTGGAAGGCAGTTCCTGTCCTTGCCTTTCTCCTTCCATGAACTGGTCAAGGCACTTCTGGACCCTGTGTAGGGTTTGTGATTCTTCGTGAATTCTCTATTTGTTCCCCATTAAACAGTTAACTTTCCTTTGTAGGTGGAAAGTCTCATGGTAGTTGATTAGTACATATGATCTTTCATTTAGGAATTATTGAACCGATCTATATGGTAATGATGTTCTGCTATTTGCATTTAAATTAGATGAATTATTTATCAACTATCAAGCATATCCCGAAAGTATTGCACAGTAGACTTAATACTTCATGAGATTATTTTCTAGTGTCTTTCTTCTTACATCACATATGATTTTGATCTATGAACAAAATAATCAGTATTTATCTAGGTAGTATGTTAAAATTTCAAACCTTATAAATTAATATTTTTAAAATCTGTTACGTGGTTGGGTTTAATAAGAAAGGAAGCCTTCCAAACATTACCAGCCTTGCACAGATTGGTGAAAAGAATGTTGTTTTATGACTATTTGATATAACACTGTAGTTACCATGATCAGTAAGATTGTCAAGATGTTGGCTTGTTATGAACACAGCTGTTAAAATGTTCGTGGTTCAACCCAAGGACTAAAAAATTGTGAAATACGAGAAGTAAATGTAGGATCGCACTTGTTATAAGTCACTTCATTTATTGTGCTCATGCTTGCTTATATTCCAATTTTGCCTTGCTTATGAGACAGTATACATCCATGTTCTTAATTTTAGATTTCCCTTATGCTTCACTTTATTGACATTGACCTACCTACAGCTGCAGCTTAAGCCTTTAAAAACATGCAGAATATTTTACTCTGAAGATATTAACTAAGAGCTTTTAAAAGATTTTTATATATATTGTAAGTGTTTAGTCCTCTACCAAGTAATTGTGATTGATTCAGGGAGAAAAAAAGAAATTAAAAACTGCCTAGTGGTGGATGCAAGTGTAACAAGATCTTAGCTCTGTATCTGTGTAATTTTAAATGGAGTCTGCAGCACTGGAGTTATTAGCGTTTTATTTGCCTGAATGCCTGTAGGGGATTATGGTCTCCATCAGGTGTTGTGGCAGTGTCCTCCTGAGCTTTGCCAGGAACTGGTTTCTGTACCTCCAGCTCACCAGAAAAAGACATGGCAGGCTGTTGATGGAAAATGGTCAGGCAAAGGTCTGTATCACCCATGTCTGCCTGGGGACTTCTGGCAAGAAAAGAGTTCTGGAACTGTCGTGGTTGCCCAAAGTATTTGGTCGTCATCTGAGCCCATGTGGGAGTGGAGTTGCCTATTTCTTGTTTCTTCCCTGCCCTCCACCTTCAAATGTATTTCAAGTCAGAGTGTGTTGTCCAGATTTAGGACCTGCCAAGCTTAATCATATCTATTTTTAATCTCATTATGTGTATCCTGCTAAGGTATGCCCACTATGCTGACTTCAACATTGATACTAAAGAACACTTGCCTATTTAAATTTTAGTTGTCCCAGGTGCATGTGTACAAGAACCTATCAAAAAAAGCATGAAGAGAAAATTTTCCTCTTGGAAATTTTCCCCTTTTGGTAGCAAATTTCATTGCACTGGGGAAAAAGTCTTCTGGCCTGTTTAAGACACAAGATGCTGGACTAGTCATGCGTGGTTTACTGTAGGGATTCCTGTAATAAGAAGGCTGTCCTCACTATGGAATTTTCTTCCAGGAAACACAGAATTTTAAAAAGAAATAGTGTAACAGTCAATTTTACATTGTAGGCTGGAAAAATGTGTGGAAGCTAAAGAGGAACTAGAGGCAGATCTTTATAACCGGTTTATTTTGGTGCTGAATGAAAAGAAAGCAAAGATAAGAAACTTACAGAAGTTGCTGAATGAAGCTAAAGAATCTGCAGCAGATACCAAAAGTACAAGGTATTTCTTAATTTTCCTGAGTTTCTTGGTATCATACCTGATGCATATTTTAGTTTAGTTTCCATTTCTTTGATATTAATAGTGAGTGACAGTTCTTCTTGGCTAAGTGCATGGTTATCCAAAACAATGCTGTTAGTCATGAAAGCAGAGGATTCTTTTTGATGTCACTGGAAATAGCAGCGTATTGCTTTGGATGCTGTAGCCAGGAATGAAATATCCAATGAATCTATCTTCTTTTCTCTGTTAGGTTGCAGTTGATTTTCCAATCAGAGTATGTCTCTGCCATTTCCACAGATGGTAATTTCATATGTATTCTCCCTGAATTATTTGATTCCTTTTGTCCTTTGGGAAACAAGCATATCTGAATATTTTTATGTACTTTTTATTTCAAAAATACCCGGAGTCATTCTAATGCTACAGCACACCTTAATTTGTTTGCTGTCCTGCTATTTTTATCCTGCTTTTTTATATCTTAACTTAGCTTTTATTGTCTGTTGTTGTATATGAATATGCTAAGCTGTTTAGCATGGGGACTCCCATGAAGAAAGTCTTGAAAGAGTTGGGGTTGTTCAGCCTCGAGAGGAGAAGGAATGGGGGAGACCTTATTTCAGCCTTCCCATACTTAAAGGGAGCTTACAAGAAAGATGGGGACAGACTTGTTAGCTGGGCCTGTTGCAATAGGACAAGGGGTAATGGTTTTAAACTAAAAGAGGGTAGATTCAGACTAGATCTAAGGAAGAAATTTTTCACAGTGAGGGTGGGGAAGCCCTGGCCCAGGTTGCCCAGAGAGGTGGTGGATGCCCCATCCCTGGGAACATTCCAGGTCAGGCTGGACGGGGCTCTGAGCAACCTGCTCTGGTTGAAGATGTCCCTGCTCACTGCAGGGAGGTTGGACTAGGTGGCCTTGAAAGGTCCCTTCCAGCCCAAACTGTTGTGTGATTATATGTTGATGTGTATCAGCTGGCATTGCCTAATAATTATAAATTCTGTGCAGAAATAATAAGTGCCAAATATGTGCTTTTTTTTTTTTCCTACTCCTTTTTTTTCCCCCTAGGGATAGTGTTGCTACCATTCAGGTGGCTACAGGGAGAGAGAATGAATATGATGGCAGCACTGATGAGGAAAGTGAAAATTTAGCACGGACCTCATTACCATCAGGTAAGACAGAATGTATTGTCTTTGGGCAATATCATGGACAGACCAATCACTTATCTGAATATACCTTAATGAAGACAAAATGCTACCTGACAGATTGCTCTGTGACAAGCCAACCTGCAAGCCTTAAAAATATCTCTCTTGAAGCAGAGTATAATACTGGCATTTTCAAATTAGACAGAGGAAGTTTAAAAGCATGTTGTACAAGTGAAGGTACTGTCATTTCTTCCAAAATGACAAATTACATACTTTGCAGAACTAATGGCAGACTGAACAGTATCTGAACCATCAACAATTCCATTTTAAATTCTAGGAATCATGATGTGTATGCAATGATTGCAAAAATGTAAAATGTAGTTCCTGACAGTTTCAATAGTGTTTAAAAAGGGAGAAGATTTAACAGCTATAAAAAGAGTTGTGTGCATAAATGGAATAAAAATGTATTTATAGCAGAATTAGTTTTAATTTGTAAGTAAATTTTTGGCCTCATGAAGATGTTCCTGAAACTTAATTTGACTAATTTTTCCAGGACTCTAGACTTGTAGGGTGTATGTGATACAGCAATTGTCCATTCTACAATAGAAGATATTTAACTGTGAACCATAAGAAATTTTGGCATATTTTGGCAAACTATTAGGAATATATAGGACAAATGCTATCAAAGTTTTTAAACTGCATTAATACTTGATGTACAGTTTTTTATATGTGTATATATACACACTATTATAAGTGTGGGGGTGTGTATATATACATACATATATATATATTAAAAAATATATATATAAAATCTTCCCCTCAGGTCTGCAAAGTTTGCTATGGATTCTCTCATTGGAGCTTTCTATTTCCACCATAGGTAAAGGTAATCAAGACAACAACTTGTTACAACAGTTTACTGTGCATACGGGGAACCAGAAGTGTTCAAGACCCTGATACCAGTGGTATTCAGCTTTGTAACACATATGATCCTGTTTGTTGAGGATCTTCTGGTGTAATATAAAGTAGGCAGAGCTTCAGACAATTTCAGAAAGTTGCAACCATGGAAAGAAACAATTTTATTTTGTACTATGCTCTTCAGTTCAGACATCTTTGCTTTCAAGTGGTATTTGGTCAGTTCAGATAATGTGGGAAGAAATACTTTCTATTTAGTGGAAAGGCAAGGAAAAGTGGAAGGTGTTGGTTCTTTTGTTAGATTCAGTAGGACTTAACTAGCTCAGTGAGAGTTTTGAGATAGACATACATATTTAAAAATGAAAACAAACTCCGACGGCCCTACTCAAGCAATCATGAGGGACTGGACTGATCAATGTTATAGAGAAGAAAGAGCAATGATTTTTATTTGAGTTGTAAACAAAAATGTGCTTTCTGTTGCCTTTGAGGGATACAGTACTCAACATTTTGATCATGACTAGAGCCTTATTTCAACTGCAAAATTTGCAAATCATGTGAAGACTATAAACTTAATCCTTTGGATAACGCACTAAAGTTATTCAAGGTAATGGCATTCTTGAATCTGCACAATGAGTATCATTTAGTTCAGTTGATACTCTTCCTCTGTACACAGATTTCTCTTTCCATGAACAATAGAAAAGCATAGATAGGAGCTGAAATTTTAGTGTGGTCTTGGATTTTCACATACAAAAAGAAGTCTGAGGCAGACTGTGTTGCTATGAAGAAGATAGTGATTCAGGGATGAAGGACATGAGCAGATAATGAAGCTCTTAGCTACATCAAGCATCAAGGACTGTAAGGCATAAAAGATAATTCAGATAATGTTTGGATTTTTTCTGTTTATCTTAGTTTTTCTATCTCTTAGTCCAACGTTACATTTCTTTTCCTTCTGGATTTAGAATGTCATTGTGTGGGTTGCAAGAGTCAATGAGAATTAGAAGATCTTTAAGAATGTTTCAGTAGATAGTGGTGAAAGGCACAATCAAGAGAGATCATAATTTAAAAACTAATTTGAAGGAAAGTGAAGGCAGATGTGTATAAGCACACATAGACACATAATAAATGTACATTTGTATATGTACACCTCCAAAATTTAAAAAGTGAGAAGCTGATGCTGCTTGTCATAAATGAACCGTAGGGACTGCAGAAGATGGATGAAGAAAGCCACACGATATAAAGACAGAGAATGTCAGACCAGGAGGTAGAAGGCCAATGACCAGTCTACAAGTCAGTTGAGAACGCATATACAGCTGTTATTGGCCTATTAGTGCAATGATTAAAAAATCAATTGTAATTGAAAAAGCAGCTGTCTTCATTACGTGTTTATGGTTTGTGTTTAGAGGGGAAAACTAGGTGTAGTTGTGTTATAATGTAGTTCTGTTCTAGCAGCTAAGGGGGATGTGAAACAGCAGCTGTGAAATCTAGACATTTTAAAATTAGCTGGTGAGGATATGTTGAACTGCAGAGTTTAAAAATCTGGCGAGGGATTTTTCTTAACCACCAATAACTGCTTTTCTTCTAGAATTTTTGAGGCATTGAGGGTGTTCTGGGGATTTGGAAAAAAGCTGCTAATATTTACCCACAGAAAAAGTAAATGAAATGGCACAATTAGTTATGGATGTATCAGTCTGGTGTTGATCTAACGGAAATATTGGAACAAGACTCAGTGAAGAAAAATATTAAGAAAGTGAGTAAGAATGTTAATTGCAATTTTTGTGAAGGTGCAGAAACTGGAAGTTGAAAACTAGGTACTCATGTCTTCTGTGAGGTGATTACCAGCTAGTTGATCAAGGTAAAATTAGTAAAGTAATAGACTGACTTCCATGAGATATCATGCTGCACTACATTTTATTCAAGAAATTAGAACATGGAAAATATAAATGAAATTTATGAGTCCTTCTATCTGTGGAGTGTGAAATTGAAGATAATTTATATAAACCAATTTGGATTTTGTGATACACCAACTATAAACAAAATGTGTGCATTCTAACACAGTATAATGCCATGCTTTCCAGTACTTTGACAGCTATGCTTCACTTGAGAAAACCAACAAAGTCTCAAGTTTTGCTTTGTCTAGCTCCTTCTGCCACATAAATTTGGATACCTCCAGGGATTACCATCATCTCCAGGTGAACCCATCTAGCAAAGCCAAGAGCTACTTAGACAACATTTGCACTCTGCTCTATATTGCACCCATTCCGGGAGGGTGGCTTGGTCCTGCCTGGCCTTACAGGAGCCAGCTTGGCTTTAGCCGCATTAGTTAAGATTCATAGAATGGTTTGGGTTGGAAGGGACCTTTAAAGGTCGTCTAGCCCAACCCTCCTGCAATAAGCAGGGACATCTTCAACCAGATCAAGTTTGCTATGTCAAGTTTGGACATCCAGATTTGAAGAAAAATGTCAATGTCAATGCTAGAAAATTGGGGAGAATAATGTTGTGATAACAGTGGAGGGATTAGCAAATTATTTAAATGAAATGTTGAGAAGGATCTTAAGTGATCATTTTTTTCATGGCCTAAAAGAAACTACATTGCAAACTGATGTCATTGTCTTGATGGTCTTTCTATAGAGCAACTATAGGTATTTAATGAACTTGAATAACTGGAACTTAACATTAAACAAAGACAAAAGTGGGATGTTATTTCTGCCAGGATAATTAACTCTTGGAAGAATTTGAGCAGGTTATGATGGGTTCTGTCCATCACTGCCCGTGTTGAAATAGTGGTGTCATGCTTTTAATAAAAAGACAAGATCTTGTTCATATTAGCATGAACTTAAAATAAGTACACAACCTACGTTATGTTCAGCATTGCAAATGGCTGTTACTATGACAGCTTCTCCTCTATAGCAGCAGATGAATTGCAGAAGAAAACCTTTTCTTGTGTCTTCTACAAAAATGGGCTTACTCATGCATGAATACTCAGCAAGGCTATTGGGTAGGTTTTCAACCTCTGCTCAGCAGGCAGTTACATTTATTTGTTCAGCCTCAGAAAAATTTTGTGTAGAGGTCTTTTCCCTGCAATAGCAGTTAAACTGTAACCTAAAAGTTTACCTAAAAATGCAGATTTTTGGCACTTGCAGTACCATTTGTAGATATGAATTATGGTTTACTTTTTGACAGCAGTTTTTACTTCATGGCTTACAGCCAAAATCAACTGAAACATGGTAGTTTTTTTCTGTAATCTACACACTGATGTAGTTAATGCTTTGTGTTGTAAAAGAACAAATTAAAATTGAATTAGTAGGTATTTTACTGTAAAGCTTTCAGGAAAACAACTGATGTATATGAGAAGTAGAACTTTTAGAAATAGTACAACTTCTATAAATCACACAGAATCACAAAATCATTAAGGTTGGAAAAGATCTTTAAGTTCATCAAGTCCAACCCAATAATACTGTATGTCTTTCTATATAACAGCTTTGTTCGTCATACCATTGAGCATGGGTGAAATTTATTTGACATACTGGTTAGGATTGTGAATGTGAGATTGAAAAAGCCACACAACTCCTGCTTTCACAGCAGTTTAATAAATTCTTTAGCAGCAGCTATATATTATGTGCCAATTCCTTCTAAATGCCTATGAGCTCTTGTTTGAGAGTTTCTGCTCTGAAAGGAGGACAGGAAGGAAATCCTTCTACTGTTAAGCAGTTCTTCATGAACAGGAAGGTATGACTGTTTCTTGGGAGCAGGAGGAAGTTGTTTTCAGTTTGTTTTGTTATTTGCTTTACTCCAGGGTTGGGGTAAGATTCTAGCTGAGCCACCAATAGTTTTTACTTTCACTAGTGATACTTCAATAAAGTTCCAGCAACTTTGCAGGCATTTCACACATGAGACTGCTGATGTGTTGCCTCGTTGTTTCACTCCTCCCTCACATGTTGCATCTAGTCTTGCACTTCAACTCTTTAATCAAATATCTGATAATTTGTTTCGCTTCACTGGTGTCTAGCATTTTTAGGTTCATCACTTTTGGTTGGGACCTCTAGGTTCTGTGACAGAAAGAATGATACAGCCACAGATGAGAAGCACCTGGAACAGACTTGGGAAGATTACAGAGA